CAGAGAGTAGGTTGTATAACATCATATAGCATTTCAATGACATAACAAGCTGGAGTATTCTTCTAGAATATTGTTCATGAGTTAGACAGACATGGCTCGTACAGCAACATCACTAGAAAATAACCTTATAAAAATAACAACACAATAGAAAAACAATCCACCATGTTAGTCAATAGCCACAACAATGGGAAAATTGTTCCAAGAACTATGGGTTCTAGAAAACCATGAATGTGATATTATTGAACAATCTGAAATAAATTGTCAAAATATGGTTGAAATGATTAAATAAAGACATTTTTGATACAACAGAGGGAAAAAATTTACATGGTGAAAGATAGACTTCAGAAATGTCAATACCTTTTTGGAACTCCAAGTCACTTAGCCTAATTAAAAAAAAAAAAAAACAGTAAGTATATTATGACTATGTAGTTGAAGAGAGCAGTAATGAAGTGGAGGACAGAACTGAGGAAACTCCTAAAATAGCACAAAGAGATTTAAGAAATACAAAATGTATTAATAATTTTGAGAGATCAAATGAGCAGTCCAACATGCATCAAATAAGTATTACAGGAGATGGTAGAGAAAATGGGGGGGGGGTTAAAAATATTTCTGGGTATTTTTTGGATTCAAGTCATTTGAATTTTTATGCTAAAATCTCCTAAATAGAAGAAATACACTTTGGTTTACCACAGTGAAGCCAAATAACACCAGAAATAAAATTAAAGATCTTAAAATCAATTTATTTTTTTAAAGGAGAGCCCAGAAAGCAATGGATATAGATTAGCATTGGAAGAAAAATGTCTGTCAATTTAAATTTATATATTTAGACAAATCATTGAAGAGAAGAAGCAAGTCTAAGACACTTTTGGGTAACCAAAGTTTGAGAAGGCTTACCACTCAATGACTATCTGGGCCATAAGCACTAAAGAAAGGGTGCATTCAGTTAGAAGAAAATGATTCTTGGGAAATAGAGTGGTACATAAGAGGCAAAGGTGAGCAAAGGAACTAGGATATTATAGATAAATCTAAATACACCATTGTGTCACTACTGCTGTTACTACTATCCCCACTACCAACAGATTTGTGATAGTTTTAAAACAAGAAGGAGAGGGTCTGGCTTCACAGTGAAGTGGGTTAAGCTGATGCCTATAACACCTGGGACACTGGCATCCCACATCAGAGCACTGGTTCCAGCCCCAGCTAGTCTGCTTCTGATCCAGCTCTTTGCTAATACACCCGGGAAAGCAGTGGAAGATGGCCCAAGTACACGAGCCCCTGCCACTCACGTGTGAGACTCAGATGGAGTTCCTAGCTCCTGGCCTCAACCTGGCCTTGCCCTAGCTGTTGTGGCCAACTGAGGAGAGGAATGAACTAATGGATGGAAGATCTCTTTCTGTCACTCTGCTTTTCAAATCAGTCAACCAATCAATATTTTTAAAGAATAAATGAAACAAAAACTGTAACAACCAACATTTGCTTAATGTTTCTAAGAGAGGTAGCATTGCCCTATTTTACAGTTGAAGCAAAGGGAGCAGATAGTGACCTGTATATACTCAGACCTAGTTGGTGGCAGAGGCAGGATGTAAGTCCAAGATACCTATCTAAGAGTCTGTGGTGATCAATTTAGTATTCTGCTGCTAAATCCTTTGAAATAATACATGCAACTTCTAACTTATGCCTTAAGGGGCTGATGACTGCTTTCTATTTCCTCATTGTTTGTTTTCTGAAATGTAGGTGGGGAGGTGAGCAAACTTTGGTCATATGAGTGAGAACTTCGCCATATTTGTTTTGCTGTTGGATTTTTGTTGTTATTGTTTGTACTTGGTTAACATATGCCAAGTATATTAGTTAAGATATTGATCTGAATTTTTGATTAATTTATGTTTAAAGTTTGTTATTTAATTATTTTCATTTTATTTCAAAGCCAGAGAGACAGACAGCAATCTTCCATCCATTGGTTTACTCCCCAGATGCAATGGCCAGGGCCAGGTCATTGATGCTTTCAGAAAGAGACCTGTGATCAAATTATTCTCTTTTGTTTCTCTTCTACTATTCTCATCACAAGCTACTCAACACATAGGTCAAATTCTTGCTCTGTAATGCAATAAAACAAATCTCAAGCAAATGATTATCTCATAGTTCTGGCTATTAGATAATAATTAGTATATATATGTGTGTGTGGTGTGTGTGTGTATATATGTAAATATATGTTCTTCTGCATTTACTAAAGTTAAAAATATTTAATATAAACAAATTTAAATTACATATATTGGAATTCAATGATGCCGAAAGCATTTTCATTAGATATTGGTATTTATTATATTGTGCTTGATTTACTGAGCAATTTACACTTTAGAGACTACAAATGGCTTTCATTCACTAACTGAAATGGGAAATACAAACTGGTATAATCCACAATATGTTCTATATTCAGATAACCGGCAACCATTCATATAATTGCTGGCGACTTAGGAGACACAAATAAATGAGTTTGCTTTTGTATTCCTGTTACCAAACCCAGAACTTTGTCTCAAAAGTTGCTCCTTTCCTTTTCTAGGTCATAGTAGACACACAACTTTTCTACTAATCTTTTTACTATTTGGTGAATAGAGAAAATGTTCACCTGAGACTTCAGTCATCACTCCCAAGTCCAAGATCCTGACAAAATCAATTATAGCTTTAAAATGTACTGCCCAACTTGGGAATGTAATGCCAGAAAAATGCATCTGATACTCTGTGAGTTTTGATCCTTGAAAACTTAAAAAGTCTAGGGACAATATTCCAAAAGAGAAGTAAGCATGAAGCTTCCCTTAAAGCTATAGGAGAACAGAAAAGAAGGGGGTGGGGAAGCATGTATGTATATATCCTCGAGCCCAAGAAAATCTTTAGACTTTAGAAAGCAATGCCAGAAGATCATACTTTGTCCCTTTAAACCAGATCATTAAATAATGAAGAGTATTATTTATAATGGCTTAATATGCTGTGGTTCAGAGACATATACATATTCTACTTAAGAAATGAAAATATCTGGATTTTAATCCTTAGCGATTATTGCCAGATATTAGGCACTTCATTTAACTACAGACTGAAAAATTCTCAGGTTTTTCAAAATTAAATTTTTATAACAGCAACTGACAATAAAGAGCTGCACAGATTTGGAATAATTATTATCTGTTAGTGTTCTTTTACTGGCTATTTATTTCTCCTGCTGTACTTCTCTCCTCCCTGGCTTAGTCAACCCACCTGTTAATTTCAAGCTAATGAATACAGATGACAAAGTATTTCCTGTGGATTCCCTAGGAATCAAGAAGAGAATTCAGAAGGGAGGGTGGAAGAGGGATGGGAGGGTAGAAGTCCTCCGTGACATATATCTTAGCCCAATTCAGGCAAAGAGCGAGTCATTTCATCCAAGGGAGTGTTGTGTGGGAGTAAAGCATCACAGTGGGAGTCATCGTGCCTGAAAGATGTAATTTCCTAAAATGTATACCTTGTCAGTGTGCAGAGATGAATAGAGAGAAAGGTCAGTGCATCCCAAGTGCAAAGGATACCGGGACAATATGCTATTAGGGTGTGCAGTGTAGTCTTGGTGACTCTGTACCACCACCAACTGACAGGCTTGACTCATTACTAAGTAAATTAGACAGCAAGTCATGGGGAAGTTTTATAGGAATAAGAACGCCCAGCAGTTTTCCAATGTTCCTCTCCTGGCTGGAGTGTTTCTCTCCTTTGGTTTCTGCTGGTGATAGAGTAACTGGAGGTGGGCCGCAGCATGGCTGTCGCTTTGGGAGTTACTCAGCAGGTGGTGGTTACTAAACATGGTACTGGGGGAGCAATAATAAATAAATATACAAAAATGACAAGAAACTTCTAGCCTTTTCTTCTCAGCCCCTGCTCTCCCACTATTGTTAAAGAAAAATTAGGAATGGCAGAAATAGTCACCCCCAACTGCCCCCACCCCCACTCACCAGATGTGGAAGAGTCTCTGGTCGCTTGATTCACATCACATGAAGATGATTACATGCATGCCCCACAGGAAAACAAAAACTAAAAATATATGTAGATGTTAAAATGGTTTCTTCCCCTTACACAGTCTATTACCAAGTACTCATAACACTTAACCAGGGCTCTTGCTGACCAGTTGCAAAGGTGATTTATTTTTACAACATCTTAACAGAACTACATTTTTAAATTATTAAATAATCTTCTGTAAATGTGTTCTCTTTAATAAGAATTATAGAAGACACATATTGATTATCAGTTATAAATTCTCATTTAAAAAATAATATATGGCTGTCCCTCAGTATCCAGGGGGGATTGTCCTAGGTTCCTTGCCCACCATGGATACTCAGAGCTGTAGATGTTAAAGTTTCCTACATTAAATGGTATTTGCATAAAACATCTGTCATCTTCTACATACTCCAATCATCTCTGCATTACTTAAAATACCTAATACAATGTAAATGCTAGATGAACAGTTAAACAGTTGTTAACACCGTATAATTTAAGGAATAATGACAAGAAAAATAGATGGTACATGTTTCAGATGCAACATTACTCCCAATTTTTTCCATCAGTTTGTTGAATCAACAGATGTGGAACCTATGAACATGGGAAGCTGACTGTATTTTATTTTAATTTTTGATAAGTTTATCTGAGTGTTTTTGATGTGGAGGAGATGTGAAAGATGTTTTGATTCTTCTAATTGTGAGCTATTATATCCTATAATGTACTTATCAGCTTGGAATTTTGTTATGAACAGAATCGTGTCATCTCCAAATTCGTATGTTGACTTTCAATGCTGCTATATTAAGAAATAGGAATCTTAAAGAGGTAAGTGAGACTAAATGAGGACATAACTGAGGCTATAACCTGGTAGGACTAGTGGCTGTGTAAGCAAAGAGCACAGGTATTGTGACACATGGGATTAAGCCTCTGTTTGAGATACTTGCATCCCGTATTAAGAGGGCCTGATTTGAATCCTGCCTCTGCTTCCATTCCAGCTTTCTACTGAGTTACATCTTCGGAGGTAGCCAATGATGGCCCAGGTACTTGGATTCCTGCCACACACATGGGAGAACCAGATGGAATTCCTGCTTCCTGGCTTTGGTTTGGCCCAGACCTGGCTGTTGTGGGCATTTTGTGGAGTGAATTAATGGGCAGAAGATTTTCTCTCTCTCTCTCTCTCTCTCTCTCTCTCTCTCTCTGTCTCTGTCTCTCTCTGTTTTCTTTCCCCTCTCCCTTTTACCTTCTTTCTCTCCTGTTCTCTCCCAACCTGAGTGTGTGTGTGTGTGTGTTTGTGACTCTGACTTTCAAATAAATGAATATTTGTAAGAAGAAGAGGAGACGCCACGAGTATTCAGGCAGGGCAAGAGCAGCCTCCTGAGGACGTGGAGAAGGCAAACACCTGCAAGGCAAGGAGAGAGGAAGCCTCAGGAGAAACTTCGCCTTCCAGTACCTTGATCTTGGCCTTCAGCTGCCAAAACTCTGTGAAAATACATTTCTGTTTTTAAGCCACCCAGGCTGGGGTATTTTGTAATGATAGCCCAACCAGACTAATACAAAACTGCTGATAATAGTGGTATTTGTAAAATTAGGGACTTGCAGATCTAAGAGAACATTAAAGCTCATCTGGCCCAATAGTTCTTGGCTCGGTGTTTAAGGACCATGGATAATCGGGCCACTTCCTTGCACACTTCCAAAGAGGTGTCTTCTACAACAAAGTCTGTGTGAATGTGCCCCTTGCAGCCGTACTGTGCGTATTCCAGCAGTTGGATACAGCCATCCTGAAAATGGTTTGCTAAACTCTTCTTCAATTTAGTCTGGGCACATATTTTTTCTTCTGAAAAAGTAAGCCCAAAATTTCTTCAGATATTAAAGGAACTTTATGACACACAAAAACTTCAGAAACATTTATGACTTTACATCTCTCGTCTTACAGATGAGGAAAATGAATCCTAGGAAGGGACGGTGCCCAAGGATGTATTGAAAACACAAGTAAAAAGAGGATCCAAATTTCCTTCCTCCTAGCGAGAGGTTAAAACATTTTCATACCTGGAGTAGGGCAGAAAGATGCCTTCCACCTTTCCAAAATGTACCTGTGTGTACATAACCCTCAAATTTTAGCACATTCATTCAGATAATAGAGTTGGTAATTTTTTAAGCATACTCACATAATATATAGTAAATAAATGTCATATTGCATGAATGAGAACTTGATAATTTATATACATGTAGTTAACAAGAGAATTCCATTAAAGAATGTTATTTGGACTGTTATTTGTAGCTTCCAAGTTGTTATGAATCTTAATGCAGTCTTTGTGTGTTTTCACTTGAGGAATGGTCAAGAGGTAGTGAGTGACTTGAATTCCATTTCTTTTGTTGTTCCTCATTTAAGATGGGAATTGGGGGGCAGGCACTGTGGTGTAGCAGTGTAAGTTGCCCGATATGATGCCAGCAGCCCATATCAGTGCTGCTTCCTGTCCTGGCTGCTCCACTTACATTCCAGAGAATGGCCTAGGAGAAGCTCCTGGTTCTTAGCTTTGAAGCCTGGCCCAGCCCTGGCCATTGCAGCCTTCTGGGGGTGAACCAGTAGATGAAATATATCTCTATCTGTTACTCCCTTTCTCTCTGTAACTCTGTCTTTCAAATAAAAATAATGGCATGTTTCCTAACCTGTAGCTACAGAGATCCAGCCCAGTGAATCTCAGCACTAGTCACATAAGCAGGCCCTGAAAGCCAATAAAGGAAGTGGAGGCTGAGAGCCACCCACCTCCTCATTTGCACCTCTCCATGCAGGTACTGGCTCAGGAAACATCCACTTTGTCCAGGCCCCTGTGAATGTCAATATTCATTTACCTTCTCTAAAATGCAGAGTTCTCTTCCTGTTTTGGCATCCTCTGTATATGGAGCACTGCACTCAGAATGGCTGCCTCCCTCTCTGTATTTGTCTTCTGTCTTACATCCTGCAACAGCAAAGTGCGTTTTAATTTTTTAATGTGAGCATTTTGCCTTTGATAAATATTTGGAAAGATTCCAATGATGAAAATCATGATGAATATGATGAATATGATGAAGATGATACTTCTTTCTCTTCCTCCTCCTCTTTTTGTTCTTCCTCTCTTTCCTGCTTCTCCTTTTTTTTTCTTGCATCAGAATTCACTAAGCAGAAAGCAGCCCCAACCATGGCATTCAGACTGCAGCAGAAGTTTACATGCATGGGGAGAAATCAGAGAACTGGATACTTCACGTATCCTTTTACAGGAAGTTGTGGGCAGGAGAGGTCCAAGAGAACAGGGGTTCGTGATTATTTCATGAATTACAGACTGGTCTTGACTTTCATAAAGGCAGTTTCATACAGTGTATGAAGCAGCATTCCAAGCCTCCCTGTTCCTTCTAAAGATTTCCTTCCCCTGTGTTTCCTGCTGCCAATGCTGGGATATCCTGAAGCATAATCTGAGCTCCAAGGACATCCTTGCCTCCTGACTCCTACCTCCTTGGCGCTCTCATCATACAGTGGGCCTGGGCTGCATTTGGGCAAGAAGAGAAGCAAGAACTGGGAAAAAGATTCTTGACCAATATGGTGGCCTCAAGCCACCACATTCTCGAAGTCCAAGTCCCTCTTTCTGTCCTACTAGTGGGACAACTTTCCCCTAGTGGGGCCCTTGGGGTCTCAGTAGAGGCCATGGTGCTGAAGAAGAAAACTCATTCCCAAAGATGAACCATTATTCCTCAACTCTTTCTAATCCTCTCCTTGGCAGATACCTTGGCATTCTCTCACACCTCCAGGCAGTCTCCCTGCCTCTGGGCTTTGATCTCTCACATCATCTTCCTCGAAGGTGCTTATGCTTCTAGCCCCTACCTACGTTAGGCAGTCAGTGTCCTCAGCCTTAGCTTAAATCCTTCCTCATCCATGAAAAATCCCCTAATCCTCAAGTCAGAATAAACCTCTTCTTTCTTGCACTCTTTCAGGATCTCTAATCTGGGACTGTACCAAACAGGACTGCAATCAGCACCTGTAACTATGTCCTCCATTGACACAGTCTTGCCTGTGGAGACTGCCGTCATTCAGAGTTGCTTACTTTTCTGGAGTAGATGAGTTAGGTGTCCAACAAAAGAAGTTGAATTGAATTATGGGCTACTCTTCTTTACTAATCATCAAAGCTCCATCCCTTTAGCTTTCACGTCTTTCATTGTCTTCCCAGCCCCACTGATTGTATTACTCCCCTCAAAGATCTCACCTACCTCTTAATACAACTAATCACTTATAGTCTAGCACATTCTTTTCTAGATGGGGCCTCTTTTTGGCCCTTGGGTCCCCTCTTAATTTCCACCTTGACACAAGATATGAGAAGCATCCTGACTAGAATCTTTATAGGAAACAGGTGTGTGATGAGGTAGCCTGGTTTTTGTTAATGAACCTGTAGTACTGAGAAAGGTGTTGCTGGCATCCCAAGCTAACATTTCAGATACCTATCCCTTTAGAAACATTTCCTGTGCTGCTAGGTATTTGACTATAGTAGCTGTAGACTACAGTATTGGAAACATTCTAGGTTGGTAAGTACTCCAGTGCTGGAAACAGACTGCAGCATTTCTCCGGAAAGACGTAATGTAAGCTCTGAGACTGTATAAGGTAACTTTTAGAATACAACCTTTTCAAAAGCCAAGGTCCGCCTGCTCTTTGTTATGCTGTGGGTGGCAACTGAGGTGGTGGCATGACTGTGTTACCAATGCTTTCTATTTTTGTAATGTGGCAAGGATGCTGAGGAATTCAGCCCCCAAACTGAGAAATGCAGAATAGCACCAGATACTAAATCATGCAGAGACAACCTCCACCTCTGTGATGGGAGGCGGTGAGGGTGAGAGTGAGGGATTTATCAAAAGCACTCCCCAAAACAAGGCTTTCTGCTCTCTCGTCTAGCCTAGTTCTTATGGCAGAGAATTTTCTGCTGTTTTTTTTATTATATTAATAACTTTATTTCACTGTTCTATTAAGTATGTTACCCTGCCTACATGCTGGCACCACAAAACTTGTCTTTTTAATTACTCTTACAATATTACTTCATCACCTAGACTCTCATAAAATGAAATATACAGGAAAATGTGAATCCTTTTTGAATATAAGAGTGCTTCAAAAAGTACATGGAAAATATATTTAAGGAGAAGTTTAGGGGTATGGGGTTTGGGCTAGCAGTTAAGATGCTTCTTGGGGGCCGGCACTGCGGTTCACTAGGCTAATCCTCCGCCTGCGGCGCTGGCACACCGGGTTCTAGTCCCGGTCGGGGCACCGGATTCTGTCCTGGTTGCCCCTCTTCCAGGCCAGCTCTCTGCTGTGGCCAGGGAGTGCAGTGGAGGATGGCCCAAGTGCTTGGGCCCTGCACCCACATAGGAAACCAGGAGAAGCACTTGGCTCCTGGCTTTGGATTGGCACGGTGCACTGGCTGCAGCGCGCCGGCCACAGCAGCCATTGGAAGGTGAACCAACGGCAAAGGAAGACCTCTCTCTCTCTCTCTCTCTCACTGTCCACTCTGCCTGTCAAAAAAAAAAAAAAAAAAAAAAAAAAGATGCTTCTTGGGGCACCTGCATCCCATGTTGGAGGACCTGTATTCAAGTTCTGCCTCCACTTCCTACTGTAGCTTCCACAGAGCCAGTAGGCAATAGCTCAAGCAGCTGGATTCCTGCCACTGACATAGGAGACCTGCACTTGGTTCCCAGCTTCCATCTTTGTCAGGACTTGGCTCTGGCCAATGCAAGGATGTGGGCAGTGAACTAGGAGATGGCAGACTTCTCTATTTGCTTCTCTTTCCCTCTATATTTCTGCCTTTCAAAAACAATTTCAAAGTCCATGCTTAGTTTCTCATAGTATGCAGTTTGCACACTTTTTGAAGTATCCCCATATAGTGTGTATCTGTGTATATATGTATTATAAAATTCTCTATAAAAAAACATGAAAACATGGCTTGCAATAAAACAGTAGCTATACACTTCAACATATTACTTAAGTATAAAATTAAAAAAAAAAACCAATTTATAAGGCTTAAAGAAATTTCATGGCAACCCATGACGAGTGTCAAATTCATCAGCAATTGTCCTATGTATAACAAAATGAGGGGCTGGCACTCTGGCACAGCAGGTTAACACTCTGGCCTGAAGTGCCGGCAACTCATATGGGAGCTGGTTCATTACCCGGCTGCTCCACTTCTGATCCAGCTCTCTGCTATGGCCTGGGAAAGCAGAAGATGGCCCAAGTCTTTGGGCCCCTACACTCGCCTGGGAGACCTGGAAGAAGCTCCTAGCTCCTGGCTTTGGATCGGCGCAGCTCTGGCCATTGCGGCCAATTGGGGAGTGAACCAGCGGATGGAAGACCCCCCCCCCCCCCGCCTCTCCTCTCTCTGTGTAACTCTTTCAAATAAATAAATAAATCTTTAAAAAAATGAATGGCATCCAGCACACCTAGGAGAGGGAAGGGAAAGGGGGAGAAGACAGAATAGAGGAAGTGAGATTGAGTTCTGAGTTCTGAGTCCTACCCTTCCCTTATAATGTACTGAAGATAGCCCAGTACTTCATCCAAAAATAACCCAGATTACCAATCTTAGACAAAGATTTTACTCACTGTAATGACTCAACATTGAAGAAGAAAAACTAAGTATAACTATGAATATATACCAAAAAGTTCATGAAAAAGTGGAACTTAAAAATAAGTTTACCCTAATGCCCATCAACAGTAGACTGGATAAAGAAATTATGGGCCGGCAGCGCGGCTCACTAGGCTAATCCTCCGCCTTGCGGCGTTGGCACACCGGGTTCTAGTCCCGGTTGGGGCGCCAGATTCTGTCCTGGTTGCCCCTCTTCCAGGCCAGCTCACTACTGTGGCCAGGGAGTGCAGTGGAGGATGGCCCAAGTCCTTGGGCCTTGCACCCCATGGGAGACCAGGATAAGTACCTGGCTCCTGCCATCGGATCAGTGTGGTGCACCGGCCTCAGCACACTGGCTGCGGCGGCCATTGGAGGGTGAACCAACGGCAAAAGGAAGACCTTTCTCTCTGTCTCTCTCTCTCACTGTCCATTCTGCCTGTCAAAAAATAAAAAATAAAAAAAAATAATAATAATAATAATAAAATTTAAAAAAAAGAAATTATGGGACATGTACTCTATAGAATACTATACAACAGTCATAAACAATGAAACCCGGTCATTTGTAACAAGATGAAGGAATCTGGAAAACATCATGCTGAGTGAACTAAGCCAGTCCCAAAGGGACAAATATCATATGTTCTCCCT